TATCCCCAACGAACATCAAAACACCAAAATGAACATCAACCGGTACAATGCCAAAATGAACATTTAAAATCATTACAAAAAATGAATCTCTTCAACCACCAACATCAAATTAAAAAACCCCAAAATAGAATAATATCACTCTTCACATTTCACAAAACAAAAAGATACAATGTAGCCTTTCAAAATCCTACAAAACCAAAACATACACAACCCTTTAACACATGCCCAAGCGTAGCACGGAAGAAAATTAAATCATAAACCAAACTCTCCATTTTCAACCATCGCATCAATAATATTATGACAACGAGCCCTAATAACAAGCCCGTGCGTAGCACGGGGTAGAAAACTAGTATATATATATTATAGAGTATATTTTACAATGATGAAATATATAAATATAGAATTATTAAAAAATGAAAAAGTTTTATGCAAATGTATTCAAAGATCTTTTAAAAAAATTAAAATGGACCAATGAATTGAAATGCATAAATCCACATCATTAGTGAGTGCACATGTGGATGCACATGTGGCATGCCACATGTCAACACTACAACAATTGAACTCTCTTTTACATATATATAGGATATAGGATATGATATAGGATAGTAACACTTTATTTCTACCTAAATATAAATAAATATTTATAAAAAATTACAAAATTCCCATGGGGTCGCATGACCCCGTGTGACTCTATGTAGGTCCACCCCTCAGACAAGTACTACTTTTGTTATTGAGTATTTGTTCAGTTTTCACTTTTTTTAGTCAACTATTTTCAACAATTGAGATATAATTAAATAAAATATATATATTGTATATTAATTAGATAAAATAATATTATAAAAATATTGTATATAATAAATCAAATGAAACTATTTTTATATTAATATCTAATATCATTTTTATTTAATTTGAGGTTAAAATTTATCATTTTTGACATGAAAAAAATCAAAAGTGAATAAATATTCAAGAACGGAGGGAGTATATTTTAAGAATAAGATCTTTGTAAATATAAGATGCAGACCGCAATCTTGACCAATTAATCTGTAATTATAATTTACTTTCATAGTTTATTCTTTAACTATCCAATAGTTCATCCTTCACGGTGGGAGAGGGGAGAGAAGCAAAAAATGGGACGGGTAAGTAACAGAAAATTGCTCATGGGTGACGCGAGTTTTGTTGAAATAACTCTCAGGTCCCTCTATTTTCAAAAAGGCAGCAGAGGTCCTTACATTTTGTTGTAATAACTAGAAGGGGACATTTCATCCAATATTTCATCTATAAACGTTAATAAATGTATTTTTTCCTATTCTTTTCTAAATGTTTTAAGGTAATAAATCTTAGGTCGCTCCTTTTTTTATTTCTTTGTTTTTCTTTCATTTTGTTACTATTTTTTAAAGTGTTATTTTAAAATTTCTCCTATAAAATCGTATAAAAATTCAAAGTTGTTTATATTATATTAAAACAAATGAAATAAAAAAAATTCTAAAAAAAGAAATAACAAGG